CCTCCGTGGGCCCCGCGGGAGCGGCGGGATCCCGGGATGGGCACGGGACGAGGCGGGGTTGGCGGGGGGACCCCAAAGTGACCCCCCAATTCCCCAACCCCCAGACCAGCATGAAGAACATGGAGCGGGAGCTGGTGTGCCCGTCCTGCAAGGAGACCTACAAGCAGCCGCTGGCGCTGCCGTGCCAGCACAACGTGTGCCACGTGTGCGCGGCCGAGGCGCTGGCGCCGCAGGGCCCCGCCGCCGCCGGCGACGCCGCCTCCGAGCCCTCGTCGCCCGCCTCGACGCCGGCCACGCGCAGCCCCCGCCTGCCCCGCCGCGCCGGCCCCAARCCCGACCGCCTCGACCGCCTCCTCAAGTCCGGTGGGTGCCGGCGGCGACGCCGCGGCGGGTGTTGCGGCGACGCCGCGGCAGGTGTTGCGGTGACACTGTGTCGGGTGTTGCGGTGACGCCCTGGTGCTCCCCGCAGGCTTCGGCACCTACCCCGGTCGCAAGCGGGGCGCCGCGCACCCGCCGAGCTTCAGCTTCCCGTGCCCGGCGTGCCGGCGCGACGTGGACCTGGGCGAGCGCGGCCTGGGCGGCCTCTTCCGCAACCTGACGCTGGAGCGCGTGGTGGAGCGCTACCGCCAGAGCATCGACATGGGCGCCGCCATCATGTGCCAGTTCTGCAAGCCGCCGCGCCTCGAGGCCACCAAGGGCTGCACCGAGTGCAAGTCGAGCTTCTGCAACGAGTGCTTCAAGCTCTACCACCCGTGGGGCACCCAGAAGGCCCAGCACGAGCCCACGCCGCCCACCCTCACCTTCCGCCCCAAGGTGGGTGCCTGCACCCCCTCTCCTTCCCACCTTGCGCTATTCCCGTTTTTTTTTTCCGGGAGACCCCCCCCAATCGCACGCTGAGCCCCCCCTGTGTCCACGCAGGGGCTGACGTGCCCGGAGCACAAGGAGGAGGTGACTCACTACTGCAAGACGTGCCAGCGCCTGGTGTGCCAGCTGTGCCGCGTGCGCCGCACCCACAGCGGCCACAAAATCACCCCCGTGCTCAGCGCCTACCAGGCCCTCAGGGTAAGGAGGGGCCTGGGGGACCCCGCGGGGACGGGAGCTGCCACCGGGCACTGCCAGGGGCTTGGAAAGCAGAGCATCCCAGAGCAGTTGAGGTTGGAAGGGACCTCTGGAGATCACCTGGTCCAACCTTCCTGCTCTAGTCCAACCCGGACACCCAGAGCAGGTGGCACAGGCTGCATCCAGGCRGGTTTGGAAGATCTCCAGAGCAGGAGACTCCACAGCCTCCCTGGGCAGGTTATTCCAGGGCCCGGGCACCCTCACACTGCCCAAGTTCCTCCTCACGTGGAGCTGGAGCTGCCTGGGTTGCATCTTGCACCCATCGCCCCTTGTCCTGTCACTGGCCACCACGAGAAGAGCGTGGCCCCTTCCTCCCTGCTGCCATGGGGTGGCCTGGCCGTGCCGGAGGGCCGCAGAGGGGTCGGGGTCGGGCTTTAGCTCATCCCCGCGTCCTTCCCGCAGGAGAAGCTCAGCAAGAGCCTGGCCTACATCCTGAGCAGCCAGGACGCGGTGCAGACGCAGATCGCCGAGCTGGAGGAGACGGTGAAGCACACGGAGGTGCGTGCGGGCGCTCCGGGCGGGCGCGCGGCGCCGCGGGGCCGGCCGCGCTGACGGCGCCGCGCTCCGCAGGCCAACGGCGCGCAGGCCAAGGAGGAGGTGTCGCGGCTCCTGGCGGGCCTGGGCGCCGCGCTGGACGAGAAGCGCGCGGCCCTGCTGCAGGCCATCGAGGAGTGCCAGCAGGAGCGCCTGGCCAGCCTGCACGGCCAGATCCAGGAGCACCAGGCCATGCTGGAGAACTCGGGCATGGTCGGCTACGCGCAGGAGGTGCTCAAGGAGACCGACCAGCCCTGCTTCGTGCAGGCCGCCAAGCAGCTGCACAACAGGTACCGCGCGGCGCCGGGGCCGCTGGCATCCCCGTTGTCTCCCTGGGGGTCCCCTTGCCTCCCTGGGGGTCCGAGGGGGCTCCCGGTGCCCCGTTTCCCGCCGCCCACGCGCCCGCTCTGCTCCGCTCCAGGATGCTGAGGGCCACGGACTCGCTGCAGAGCTTCCGCCCCGCGGCCACCGCCTCCTTCGGCCACTTCCAGCTGGACGTGAGCCGGGAGCTGAAGCTGCTCACGGACCTGGCCTTCATCAAAGGTAACCGCAGCAGGACGCCGGCACCGCCTGTGCCGTGGAGCGGCCCCCCCGCGGGCAGAGCAGCGCCATGCGCCCCCCCCAGCCCCCGCCCAGGACCCCCCGCAGGTGCCAGCGGGGCTGCCCGCTGCCCTCCGCGCCAGGGACGGCCCCAGCAGAGCCCAGGTGGAGCCGGGCGCCGCGTGGAGGCGGCCCCAGGTCCTTGGCCCCAGCAGGGCAGGCTCTTCCCGCCCAGGGCAGGTGCCGCGTGGGCCCTGCCAGGACCGGCTGGCAACACTTTTCAGACCTGCTTCTACCTCTCTTTGTTTATAGGCTGCGGCCGCTGCTGAGTCGTCACTGAAGTAACTGAGGCAAGTCACTCCCCTGCCCCGGCGCCAACCCGCTCTCTCTGTCCCATCCCGCCATCCCCATTCCCGCCCCATCCCGCCATCCCCGCTCCGCCGCCATCCTCCTCCATCCCGCGCCGCCGCCGCCGGGGGCTCTGCCCCGTCGCCTCCGCCCCCCATCCGCCGCCCCCATCCCTCCATCTGCTGCCGCCCTCCCCGTCCCCTCTCGCCCCATTTCTGTCCTCCCATCCGCTCATCTCGCCGCCGCTCTCTCTCTCTCTGCCACCTCGGCCTCTCCGCTCCAGCTGGCGCCGCTCCGCCATGCTCATCCTCCTCCTCCTCTCCGGCCGTCTCCATCCTTCTCTCTTTCTCTCTGTCTCTCTCTCTCCTCCCCTCGACTTGCACTCAGCCTGTCTGGTCCCCGGAGCTCTGCCGCAGCCGGCTCCGCTGCCCCCCGACTCCCTCCTCGGCGCCTCCACACGGTCTCTGCAGTCAGATCCCCCTAGACAATCCTGCCGGTTGTGCGTCCGTCTGGAATGTGCCCCCTTCCTGCGCCTGGCCGCCTCCCCGCCCGCCGGCGCGGACGCGGCCTCACGCCGCCCCTTGCCTCTCCCCGCAGCGCCCGAGGCGCCGGTCATCGACACGCAGCGCACCTACGCCTACGACCAGATCTTCCTGTGCTGGCGGCTGCCGCAGCACTCGCCGCCCGCCTGGCACTACACGGTCGAGTTCCGCAAGACGGACGCCAAGGCCAAGGGGCTCAAGCTGTGGCAGCGGCGCGAGGAGGTGCGCGGCACCAGCGCCCTCGTCGAGTACCTGGACACCGACAGCGTCTACGTGCTGCGCGTCAAGGGCTGCAACAAGGCCGGCTTCGGCGACTACAGCGAGGACATCTACCTGCACACGCCGCCCGCGCCAGGTGAGGCGCGGGGAGCCGGCGCCCGGCCTCGCGCCGCCGCCGCTCCCYGCTGCTCACCGGCCCCTCTCCCTCCGCAGTGCTCAACTTCTTCCTCGACAACCGCTGGGGCTTCAACCGGGACCGCCTGGCCATCAGCAAGGACCAGCGCGCCGTGCGCAGCGTGCCCGGCGTGCCCATGCTCTTCGCGGCCGAGCGCCTCATGACCAGCTGCCACCTCTCCGTCGACCTGGTCATCGGCGACGTGGCCGTCACGCAGGGCAAGAGCTACTGGGCCTGCTGCGTGGACCCCAGCTCCTACCTGGTCAAGGTGGGCGTGGGGCTGGAGAGCAAACTGCAGGAGTGGTTCCAGGTGCCGCAGGACGTGGTGAGCCCCAGGTGAGCGGGAGCGGGGAGCCCCGGCGCGGCGCGGAGCCCTCCTCGCCCTGCGCGGAGCCCGCGGCCCTGACCCCGTCCCCGCACGCAGGTACGACCCCGACAGCGGCCACGACAGCGGCGCCGAGGACGCGACGGTGGARGCGCCGCCGCCCTACGCCTTCCTCACCATCGGCATGGGCAAGATCCTGCTGCCGCACGGCGCGGCGCTCACGGCGCGCGAGCCCAACGGCTGCACGGTGCCGCTGCCGCCGCGCCTCGGCGTCTGCCTGGACTACGAGCAGGGCCGCGTGAGCTTCTACGACGCCGTGTCCTTCCGCGGCCTGTGGGAGTGCGGCGTGGACTGCTCCGGGCCCGTGTGCCCGGCCTTCTGCTTCATCGGCGGCGGCGCCCTGCACCTCCAGGAGCTCGTGGCCGCCAAGCAGGAGCGCAAAGTGACCATCGGCGGCCTGGCCAAGGGGGACTGAGCGGCGCCCGCCGCGGGGGGACACGGCCCCGGCGCCGGGGCTCGCTACGGGGAGGGGGGAGCTGCCCCCCTGCCCCACACCGGCTCCCYGTCCTCGGGTGCTCGGAGCCGGGCGCGCGGCCGGTCCCGGCGGAAGGTCGGGACGCGCCAGGAGCGGGGAGGGGGGCGCGGGGGCGACGCGGGGCTGGGGGGGCAGCCGCGGGCGCGAGGCTGGGGAGGGGGAGGCCGCGGCGGGCGGGGGGAGGCCGAGGGGGTTGGAGGCCGCGTGCAGAGCGGGGCGCGGGGCCCCGGCGGCCGCTGCCTGATGCTGCATCCTGCAATAAAGCGCGAAGCCGGAGCCCTGCGGCGCCGTGGTGTGCGCCGCCGCGGCCCAGGGCGGGACTGGGGCCACCAGAGCCCGTGGCCAGGGTGGGACTGGGGCAACCGCAGCCCATGGCCACGGTGGGACCACAGCCCTGGCAAGAAACCCCCCGGCTCCCAGGGGGCTGCACGTGGGGCCAGGAGCTGCCCCCAGCTCCATGGGCCCCCCCTAGCCCCGCTTTTGCCTCTGGCTCAGCATTCGCCCCCAGTTCCACAGGTGCCCCCAGCTCCACATTTGCCCCCAGCTCCACATTAGCTCTCAGTTCCCCGGTGCCCCCAGCTCCGCATTTGCCCCCGGCTCCGCGTTTGCCCCAGCTCTGTTTTTGCCCCTGGTTCCGTGTTTGCCCCTGCACGCGGCAGCGGCTCCGTGGCCGGGCGAGGGCCCCGCTGGAAGTTGCGGCTCCTCCTTCGCTGCCTCCGGGGATTTGCAATAACCCCCCGAGCAGGGGGCCGGCGGGGGGGCCATGGGGGACCCGCTGCCCCCCTGGACGATGCCGCTTTGAGACCCTCCCCTGCTCTTTCTATGGACCGGGCGTCACCTGCAGCCGCCACGTGCGCAAACGGGGGCGGGAAAGGGGCTGCCCCCCGACCCCATAGCCCCGGGCCGGCGCCGGTGCGGCGCGGGGACGGACGCGGCTCCGCGGTAAGGTTTATTTGTACAAAAGAGGAGGCGGCCGCGGGGCCTCAGGGCTGCTCCGGCGCCGCGGGGTTCGTGTAGGTGAAGGTGCCGGCGCCGGCGCCGCCCGCCACCTGCGGGGACGGGGGGCCGCGCGTCGGGGAGCGGCCGCGCCGGCGGCGCCGCCCCGATAACCCGGCCCGGCCAGAGTCAATATTGACTGGGGCCCCGCGCGGCCCGGCCCGGCCCGCCATGGACACGGCCACC